GAATTAAAATTGATGATTCCATTTTCACATTATCAGTTTTCCTATCTTTTGCGAGTTGTAATGAAAATATATTTACTTTTTGTTCTGGTTTTATTACTCTTGGAATAAAATTTTTTATCTATAAAATTAAAAATTTATATTTAATTTCATAACTTAATATAACATATATAACATATATAACATAATTTATTATTTAATTAATTATATTAATTATATTAATTAATTAAATATATAATAATTAATGATATATTAATATTATATTATATATAGTAATAATATATTATATATAGTAATATTATATAGTAATAATTATTTATAATGAAGTTTAAATAAACTACATTATTATAATTTTAATTTTCAATAAAATTTTTTTTTGAAATTCTGTATTATCATTTAAACTTTAAAAAATCCACTTACTGTAAAAAGTGTTTTTACATGTGATGACATTGTGACATTTGTAATAGCTAATGGTAATTTAAATTTATTAACAACGCTAAAATTTCTTGTTTGATTAGATTGGAGAGAACAATAATGCGTAATTGATGCGTTTACTTCTAATCCACCTTGTAAAACTTGTGCTATCCATGGAATAGTTAATTTTTGACTAGAACCACCTGAACCTATAGCTTTTATCACTAATTTTCCTTTAAAATGTTGTAATTCTAAACCAGTCTTCCCTAAAATCAAATATATTTTATAATATATAATAGATATATCTTATTATTTTCTTTATTATAATTTAAAATTACATACAATCATAAATTAATGCTCCTATAGCAATTGGTATATCGGTATCTCCTGGAATTACCGCTTGCTCAAAATGAAGTTTTAATGCTTTAGAAACTGGTGTACTAATTATATTCTGTAAAATATACAAAGAATTGCCATAATTTAAATTTAAAAAATTTATTGTATGTAAATAAACATTATATATATACATCATAAAATAAATAATTTTTTAATTAAATATTTAAGAATTATTTACCATAACTTTTATTGGCTTTTTTGCTGAATTTTTCAAAGCAATAGGATATTGAATAGGAGGTTGCAATGAACCTCCCATACCTAAATTGATTACTCCAGAACTCCCACCCCAATGAAGACCAGCACCACTTTTCACTTCAACTTCAACTGTTACAACAAGTACTTCTGATGTATTATTTATTTTAAGTCTATAATTAAGGAAAATATTAATAATTAAAAATTATATATCTAAATAATATTAATAATTATTTAAAATAGATTAAAATGAAACTTATCTGTATATTTTATATACATAATAATACAAACCTAATATATGCAGTATGATTCTTTTCTGTGTAAGCATTAAAATGTAGTCTTATAATAGGTTTTGTTTGATATGGTGGGATTTCCCATAGTTCACGTGATCCTTCTGCTTCTCCTGATGGCAATTCTAATTGAAATTCTCCACCACTACTATATACCTCTAATACCTTTTTAATTAAATATAAAATACAGATAATCGAAGAATATAAAATAAATAAATTTGAAATTTTTTAGTGTAAAAAGTATAAATATTAAATACCTACTTGTAAAGCTTCTGCATGTGGATTGTGCATATATATAAGTGGAGTAAATGTTGCATTTAAAGGTAATTTAACATCTACTACAGGTCTGAGTCGATATGGACTACTGACACTTATTCCTTTTACCTGAAAAAGAATTCTTAATAAAGAAAAATATATTTAGAATTTTTAATATATATAATATATAAGTTGATTACTTGATATTTCACAGTTCCATCTGCTGTATGTATAAAAAGATGTGTATCAATATCACCTTCTTCACGACCAAGAAAGACAACATCAAATGTTGTGTTCCTTAATGGTGGAATTACCTATATAAATCAAATTATAATAATAATATATTATATGAATTATAAAACTGATTGAATTTTATTTCTATTTACATGATTTTATAATTTTATTTACTTTAATTAATACTTTAATTAAAAAAATAAATAAATAAAATATTATAATATAATTACTTAATTGATCTCTTTAGATAGTCTCTTCAAATATTTTTATATTTTTCGAAATTTAAGTGAAAAATTATACAATGAAAATTAACAAATAAATAGATATTCAAAATTTTAAATTAAATAAAACATTTAATTATACTTTATATAACTATACATTACTACATATAAAATATTTACATTCACATATATTATTTATATTAAAACAAAAATTATTTAATAATGCTACATAAAAATTTGCATCATAAGAAACTTACTTTATTTCGAAAAAATGATGAATGGAAATGACGTGTATTTCCAGATATTGATAAAAGATGGATTGTTTTATTATGATCTCTATTAAATAAGATCACAGTTTCTTGGTGGGGTATACCAAGTTGTCTAAAGAAGAAAATATCCATATTGTATGTATATTTATTTATGTTAATATTATACAAAATCAAGACTTATGTACCTCTCTTTAAAGTCCAAAATATGTGGTTCGAAATAAATATAAGATAATGAATCTTGTGTTTTATCTTCCTCTGATGTTGTATCCCTTAAAAAAGCAAGTTTAAAATTTTAGTTTAGTTTATATTGAATAATAATTTTTACAAATATTTACATATATACAATATATACATATTTATAATAATTAAAATTAAAAATAAGAAAGATATAAAGAAAAGTAATTTAAAATATCACAATAAAAAAAATATAATAAAATATAAAATTTAAAAATCATTTAAATATATTATTTTAATTAAATAAATAATATAATTAGCAAAAATTAGAATATAAGATATGTAATATTTTACATTTTGAATTATATTTATGTATTTTTTGTGGTATAATATTAAGAAGAATTTAAAAATTTTTAATTATTTTTTTATATCATTTTATTATTATTTTTTGTTATTTCTTATATTATTTTATATATACTATATATAGTAAAATCAAAAAATAAAAAAAAATCATAATAAAAACTTTTCCTATTTTTACTTAGTATTACTTTAATGAGTATTTTATTACGCTTACCCAGCTCCCTGTACTGTATTAGTAAAATCCTATAAAAGAAAAATTTAATATTATATATTTATAAAATTAAATTTATATATTAAGAAATATATTTTATTAAATAATATATATTAATATATGTTATATTAATTATTATATTAGAATATTTAAAAAGAAATAATATATTTAATAATTTTTAATAATATTTAAAAAGAAAATTATAGTAAATTTCTGATATTTTCTGTATTTTTTTATCTATTTGAAAATTTCATCACAGAATAAGATAAAATACTTTTGTTTATGAATACCTATTTAATTTAAGAACTTTTATTTGCTTATTAAATTTTTATAATATAATTTTTTTTAATTTTACTAATCCAACTAACCTTATGCATAGATATTGGTATGTTGTCCAAAAGATATTGAACATCATTATCATCCTGTACGAAGGCTATAAAAAATATTAAATAAATTTATTAATATTATAATTAATATAATTTTCATATATGATATATTTTACAACAAACAAATAATCTAACTATATTATAAATTTCATAATATCATTTCAAAAACTTATAATTTGTTTTGATACAATAACAATCATTATTTAATTATTATTAATTATTAATATGAAATATTGAGCATGTATTATATTTCTATATGGTTGAGTATCTTTGCATATAACATAAAATTTTTACAAATATTTTCTTATTTATGTTTTAATTCACAATGTCATATCAATATTTTATTTACTAAAATATATCATAAATATTACATTTCTGTTATTATAATTAACTAATATTTGTAATATGAAGATAATTACAAAATTGCAGAAAAAATTATTTTATAAATATTAAAATTAATTTATATTTTAACAACGCAAAAAAAAAAAACTATTAATTAACATAACGTATAGTATTTTTATAAACAAGTAAGTATAAATCTTTTAATTTTCTTTAAAGAATAAGAATTTGATGATTTTTGAAAAATATAAAACGTAATATTAATACAAAATTATATTTCAAGTAAAAAATTTTTAATTCATTGAATAACAACACAGAAATATCATTTAAGATATGTATTATTATGATAGAAAGAAGATAATTAAAATAGTATAAATATATATTTACCATTATTATGCCCATGTAAGGACGGTCGAATTTGTGACGTCAACTCGAAAAACGTTAACAAGACGATACAATAAAGTACTTTTAACTCAGTCATAATAATAGTTTCACTGTGTTGTTTGCTGTTTTGTCTTTAGCAGAAATGAAAATCCGCTTTCGGCCATACTTCTGTCAGTATCGAATTCTGAAGTATCGATTGTACTTCCGTCCAATTTGAAACCTTTCTACAGGTAAATTTCGTGTGACTAATTTTAACAAAGATAGATTACATATACTATCTTTTATTGTTATTGTTAATATATAATTAATATTTAATTTCTAATTTTTATATCAATTTCTTAATTAATTTACTTTTTCATAAATGATTTAATTTTTCCCGAAATGATCAAGCAATCATGTTTTTATTCATTGATTATGATTTTTCATCAAATAAAATCACAATTTTATAATTAAAATTAATTTTTAATTCTATTTTGAAATATGTATTATTATTTTACTATCTTATATTTATATATACATTGATTTTTTAAATTATATTAAATGAATAAAATGTGCATTCAATTCTTTATTATATATTTGAATGAATTTATTTTATATAATTTTCTTGATTTATACATTTGTGAATATGTAAAAATAAATTATAAATAACATTTTGTAATTTAATATAAATTATCCAATCATGTTACATTACTTACATTATATCATTACTAGTTTTTCGAATATTTTAGTATTTAATATTTTGTATTTATTATTTAAAATTAAATAACTATTTTTTTAAATTTTTAGAAAAATGTAGGGATATAATCGTTATATTTAAGAATTACTATATTTTAGAAACAATATTATTATTATTTAATTTATTGTAAATTTTTAAACTAATAAGTTTCTTTTATATATAAAACTATTCTTATAATATACTTATAATACACGTGGCGCTCTTAACCTAAAAAGTAAACGATTTTAATATAATATTAATAAAATTATTTTATGTTTTATAAAATTGTAGATATCGGAAGTTTAATTATAAAAAAAGTTTTAATAATTCAGAAATAAACATTCGATATGCGGAATATAAGTATGTAATATGTATAATAAATTTTAAGAGATTATTAATAAATTTATTATAATATATGTTATAAATGAAATAGGTAGAACTGACAAGAAGAAACTTTCTTGGATATATAGGAAAAAAACAAAATTACAAAAGTCAAACGAATCAACACAAAACATAATTGATAATATAGATGAAAATAAGAAACCTAGAATTATTGTTCGTAATATACCATTTAAGGTTAATGCATTTTTCATTGTATATAATAAAATTGTGAAATTTATATTATTATATTTTTAATTATTATATTAATTATTTTTAATTATTTATTATTATAAATATAATATAATTAAATATATTATATTTATTATATTAAAATATAAATATATTTATATTTTTTAATTTATGTCATTAGGCAACTAAAGAAGATATAAAAAAGTTATATGAATCGTTTGGTGAAATTTTAGAAATAAATTTTCCAAAACGTACTGATGGTACACTAGTTGGATGTTGTTTTATTCAATTTAAACAACTAGAAGATGCATCAAAAGCAATATTTAATACAAATAAAAAAGAATTTCTTGGTAATATTTTAATAAGAATTATATGATTTTAATATTAATAATTTGAATAATTATTTTTATATATATAATAATATATTAAAAATATATTTTTAGGTAGAGTAATATCTAGTGGTTGGGCTGTTTCAAAATCAAGATATTGTGAAAAATTGAAAAAAGAATTAGAAAATTTAAATGATAAAGACCATGCAGTTCAAAATGGAGAAAAAAATAAAAACGAAAAATACAAAAATAAAACAAAAGAGAAAGATATTGAAGAAAAAAAAGATCAATCTAAACAAGAAAAATTGTTATATGCAAAAAAGGAAAAAAGAAAGTGGTTAAAGGAAAAAAATCGAAAAAAAAGAGCAAGAGTTGTAGTTAGAAATTTATCATTCCATGTAAGATTATATTATAGATTTATATTGATTTTTCTTTTTAAAAATTTTAATTTTTTATTATGATTGCAGGCAATGGAAGAAGATTTAGAAAAACATTTTTCTCAATATGGTACAATAGAAGAAATTAAAATTTTGAAGAGAGAAGATGGTGCAAAAATAGGATGTGCATTTATTCAATTTGAACATGTACAAAGTGCAGCTAAAGCTATACATTATGCAAATTTAAAACCACTTTTAGATAGACCTATTATAGTTGATTGGGCTATACCCAAAAATAAATTTTCTAAGAATAATTCTGAAAATATAAATCAAGAAGATGAAATAAAAGTAAAAGTAGAGGTAGAAAGTGACATAGAAGATAATATAAATAATATAAAAAAATTAAATTCAAATGAAGAATTAAATGAGTAAGTAATTATTTTCATTATTATTAATTATTTCATTATAATCCATATCTAAAATTATATCTATAATTAATATTTATATATTTATATTTAATATTTAAAATTTTTATAAAACTAAATCTGAAAGGATATAATTTTGTAAATTTTTTTTTTAATAATATTTAATACCAAAATATTTCAATTACAGTGAAGATGAAAAACATGATATTGTTACAGAAAATGATGAATTTGGTACTTATGATTTAGAGGAAGTAGAAACAGAAAATGATGAAGATGATCAAGAAAATGAAGTTAAAGAACAAAAACAGCTGGATATAAAAGAAATAAAATATCCACGTTTCGAGTCTCATGATGTTTCTGAAGGAAAAACTATATTTTTGAAAAATGTACCATTTTCTGTAAAAAATCATGAATTAAAAAAATACATGGAACAATTTGGACCAGTTTATTATGCTCTTGTATGCATAGATTCATTGACTGAATATTCAAGAGGAACAGCATTTGTTAAATTTAAGGTAGTTTTTTTTTAAATATATTCAAATTTTGTAATAAATTTTAAATATATTATATAAATTTTATCATAGAAAGTTATAGATGCTGAAAAATGTTTATCAGCAGGAAATAAATTGCAAATGGAAGATCAAATACTTGAAGCATATAGAGCCTTAGATAAAAATGAAATTGAAAATAAAGAAAATTTAAAGCAACATAAACAAAAGGATTCTAGAAATTTATATCTTATAAAAGAAGGAGGTAAATATTATAAAAAAAAAAATATTTTTATTTAAAGACATATATAAATATATATAAATTTATATATTTTAAAATATAAAATAAATACAAAAATAGATTAATCAATACATAAACTTAAATTTTTTAGTTGTATTAGCTGGAAGTCCAGCTGCTGTTGGAGTTTCAGCAGCAGATATGACAAAACGATTACAAATAGAACAGTGGAAATCACAAATATTACGAAATCTAAATATGTTCGTATCAAGAGTGCGACTCGTTGTTCATAATTTACCACCTATATTAGACGATTTTAAATTCAGAAAAATTTTTGAACATCATGGTCCTCCTACTGCGATCATTAGAGAGGTATTTATTAGAGAATTTAAATTATTAAAATTTAAATATTTAATATGAAATAAATATATTTAAAATTTAAAAAAATGCAAATATTTAAAATAAATTTTATAAAGGCACGTATTATGCGAGATATAAAAGACGTAGATATTAAAGGAGTGGGAAAATCGAAAGAATATGGATTTATTTCATTTACGAAACATGAAGATGCACTTCAAGCTTTGAGAAATGTGAATAATAATCCAAATATATTTACTTCCAATAGGGTATGTATATAAAATTTCAATAATATAAATATAAATTTTTATAAAATTATATTTTTGTATATCATTTTTATTTATTTAGAGACCAATCGTGTCATTCTCGATAGAAAATCGGATTATGGTAAATGCTAAGCGAAAGAGACTTGAAAAAAGTCGTGAAAATAATCCTCTTTGGACGGGAAATAAAATGAAAAGAAAAAAAGAAATTACGAATGAAGAAGTTGCAACAAAGAAATTAAAAACTGAAAATGTAGATGAGTTTAGTAAAAAACCATATGCTGGAATGATTGGAAAACCTGGTGTAAATAAATTGCGATCGAAACATAATTTAAAAACTCAAGCAATAGTGCATAATCGAACAATAAAAAAAGAAAAAAAAATTAAAAAATCATCTAAAAAATTAGATATGAAAAGAAAACAAAAAATTAACGATAAGAATAAAATCAAGGTAAACATTTTTAAAATATCTAAGTTATATAATTATCTTTTTTTAAATTTATTAAATCGTCTATATCATATTTTTTGTAGTTACATATATTTCATATTTTGTATTAATTATTGTATTTTAATTATTTATATTTTTTAATTCTAAATTCTTTTTTATAGCCAAAACAAAAGACAAAAATAAACCATAATGACATAAATTTGGAGAAACTTGTAAATAAATATAAGGATAAATTAAAATCGATAGAATTGAAAAAATCTAAATGGTATGAATCATAGAATCTAATTAATATATTTTACGATAAAAAAAATTGTATCAAAAATATGATTTTTATATACATAAACAATATAGTAATAATGTTCAATAAAAAGATCGATAAATATTGTTGTAATTATTTTATCATTGTTTTTACATTTTTCATTTTCTACTTTTAATTATAAAAAAATTTATAAATTATATATAATAAATGAGATAAAATTTAGAGAATAATTTTATAGTATTCTAATTTAAAAAAAATTAAAATAATAAAATATTTAAAAATTTTGCCATTATATATTCATATAATTATAATTCTTCCAACAACTGATGTTCAAAGTGCATTAATATTAGTGAATAGTAGTAAAATAAAAATAAATAAAATTATTTTATAAAATAGAAAAAATTAATTTAAATATTGAATTTTTTTTAATTAATAAAAAAGTTATGTATAATTAAATGTAAAAAATTGGTATTATAAAAATTTTATAATTTGTATCGTAAATATATAGAAATAATAAAAATAAAAATAACAACATGCACAAATTTAATAAAAATTTGGTAAATTACCATTTATTATTATTATCCATTTATTATCATTTTAAAAATTATCTTTCACTTTAATTAAATAACTTCAGAATTTAATAACGGTAATAATAACTATTTTAATAGTTAACGGAAACTTTTGAAGAATAAAAGGGCAGGTTGCGCACTTGTCTCGAACGAAAGTGTTCCCATTCAAAAGTGGTTCGTCGTGCATGATACATGTATATACATTATCAAGTTAAATAATAATAGCAGATAATTATAAATTTTGTGTTACTGTAAAGAAAAAAAGATTAAATGAAATAATTAATAATTTACTTGATATTAACCATAATAATGTGATTCGTATTTTTGATATAAATACATGTGCAAATAAACAAAATTAGTATTGTGAGTGAAAAACAAATTTCGTACATTTAAAAGAATTATATTTTTAATATTAAAATAAATAAAAATTATTATTGTGATTGAAATACAAATTTCATTCACATACATTTAAAAGAACTATATTTTTATTTCGGTAAGTATTGAGATTTATTAAAATTAAATCTTCATATATATATAATGTTCATTAATAATTTTCATTTAATTTCTTTCTTTTGTCGAATTTTCTTATTTAGCATTATTCTAATTAAACAAATTTTGTAAAAATAATCACAAAGAAAATTTGATTATAAAAAAATTTATATAACATAACAAAAATTATTCTATGTATTTTTATTTTTTTTTAACTTTTTATAATTTAATTAATGCAACGAAATATTTTTTTTCTTATAATTCCTCTCAAAAATTTTAATTGCTTACTAAAATTATAATATTCAATATGGATAATTTACTATTTCGTGAAATGAGTTCTATGAATAATATTATTAGAAAGCACAATAAAATAATAAAATCTCATCTGAAAAAGCTTTCGCAATTTTTATAATGTAATTTATGTTTTATGCAGAAAATAATCGAATATTATATCGAATATTATCTTATTAGCAATGTAAATAAAAATATGATTTTGAATTATTTTTTAAAAATATTATTAAAAGACATTAAATATAATTTCAATGTTTCTTTAATATAAATATTTGTACACGTATATATATATATATATATATTAGAAATCGATTTTTCACAAATATATTAATATCCTATATATATATATATATCGTATTAATATCGTATTAATATCGTATTAATATTTGTGAAAAATCGATTTCTAAAGATCAAAATCGGAATACAAAAGGATCGGTTAAAATTTATTATATAATATTTATATCTATAAAATTATAAACAATTTAGTAATTTAATTCAATAAAAAATTATAAACACGGTGATGTAATGGAGATAGAAAATAGAGTCTTATTTTATTTTTCTCGTTTTATTTCGTCTAACGTAAGCTCCAATTGATTATAACTTAATAAATAAGGTTTAATCGATATTTTTGTATATCAAAATTTTTTTTATTTGTTTTGAATCGTAGAATTGATTGTTTTAAAATTGATTTTTCAAAGATGTCTTACAAATATATTAATACTCTATATATTTTGTAAATTCTAAATGTTTTTTTTGATGAAATATTACTAATCAATATTATTTCAAGTTTCGATATTTTAAATATTTACATTGTATTAATACGAATAGTATGTCTCTATCTCTTATCGCAACACTTGTTATATTTTTCTTCGATATTTTTTAAAATTAGGAACTGCTAATAGAACTTTTTATCTATAATTTTCATTGTTAATCATTGGAATCATGCATAATTCTTATTGTTTAACAATAATGTCTATGATTATGTTAACTTCACTGATAGAATATCACTAATTCAATTTCACTCCTATTTAGTAATTTTTCTCGATCCATTTTTAGATTAAGAATGAAGTGAAAATCAGTGCACTGGTTAAGAATATATTACGTATATACTTCCGCTTTAGCAAAAAACATCTTAAAATTAGTCACAAATATCATAGATATTCATTTAATACGGAAAATAACGAATAATAATGATTAATAAATAATAATAGCATAAACTGATTATTAAATGCTAAATATATTTGTTATTAAATTTTTATGTTGCAGACTAAAAATGCAAATTTTAAATTGTAAATTCACTAAATTATTAAAAAATACTGTCAAACAATCAAATAATATTATAAAAGCAACTTTGACAACAGAGATCGAAGAGCAAGATTGGTCGCGGTGTCGTCCTTATTCCGAAATTCCTGGACCTAGACCCATTCCACTTTTAGGCAATACATGGCGATTTATACCGTTTATAGGTATATCATAATCACATATACATCTATATTATGAAATTTAGTTTTCAAATATTTTTCACAAAAATATACTAAAAAATATTTAATTTTTAATTATATTAATAAAAATAATAAAACAAAATAATAAAGAACAAATCATTTATGGAATTATATCTATATAGGCATATATTTATTATATACAATTATAATTATAATTATATTGATATACTTGTATAAATAAATATATATAAATATATAAATTATATTGATATACTATGTATAAATAAATATATATAAATATATAAGCATACATATGCTAATGTAAATATTTCGGAGAAAGAAAGTTTTACGTGACCATAATTTGTAACATGAATATATCAGAATATTTCATTTCAGGTGATTTCAAAATACAGGCAGTAGATCAAGTGTCGAAGAAATTATATAAAGAATTTGGAGATATTGTGAAAATAGAAGGTCTATTAGGTAGACCAGATATGGTGTTCATCTATGATGCAAATGAAATCGAACGTATTTTCAGACAAGAAGAAAGAATGCCATACAGACCTTCCATGCCTTCGTTAAATTACTACAAACATGTGCTTAGAAAAGAATTCTTCAAAGAAAATGCCGGCGTGATTGCTGTGTAAGTATTGAATAAATTTTCTTTTTTAAATTAATAAAGTAGAGTAATAATTATTTTATTGGAATATTAAATATTATTTGATACAAAATACTACTTGTAATAATTTCGTTGTAACAAAATTTATTAATTATAATAAAAATTATTAAAATAGTATTGAAAATTTTGTTGGAATTTTAATTAATTTTTATGTTTTATTAATTATTATTTTAATTAATTTTTAATTAATTAAATTTAATAATTAAACGAATAACATAGTTTTCAAGAGATATATTACAGAGATATATTAATATAATATTCATTAATATTTATTAATATAATTCATTATATTCATTAATATAATTAAAAATAAAATATATCATATTTGCTTTTATGAATTCTCACATTTTCATCACGTTTGAAATCTCATTATAAACTACGCATAATGGTCAATATTGAAATTACAAATCTTTTAGTGGCATTGCTTAACTTTTCATTTACCATTGGGATAGCAAATATTTGCTACGAATATTTAACTCGCGCTAAAGCGATGTGTTTGGAACGTGCTAGAATATTACTGCTAGAATATATGCTTTTATATATGTACACTATGCACACTTTACCTAATATGCTATCAACGTTTATGATATACTGTATACATACTTTACCTATCAACATTTACGGCAATATATTTTTTAGCTCAAAAAAAAAAAAATGATAGATTCTTAACAAAAGATCGGAATAATAAATTATAATAAAGATTTTTATATTTTTTGATGTACAATTATTTCTATTGAAAGAAATTTATTATAAAATTATTATAATAAAATATATATATTATAATAAAATTTATTATAAATAATATTATTATTAAATTAGGATACTTTAAGAACACAATTAAGTAATAAACTATTATTTATCTAACTGATGTTAAATGATTAAAACATAGAAATGTTTTGAAACATTCAAATAAGAATGGATTTAATATTTTTTGCATATTACTTGCTAGAAGATAAATCTTATGTAATCATAATTTTATTACTTATTTCCATATGATAATTTGCAATGTTACAACTATATTATACGTTTCTACGTTAATTCTTTTTTTATACCATTCTCATTTTTCACGTAACAAAAATTCTCATTACATTCGTATTTTCTATTTATCTGGGTATTCTTTCGTAGTGATATTTTTCTGAAATGAAAATTATATCAGACATAAGTGCTAATTATTGTTAAATTTGTTAAAGAAAAAGAAAGAAAGAAAATTTTCAAACATAGTATGAATACTGATAAAAGTTATTATTGCAGACATGGTGAGAGTTGGTACAATTTCCGCAGTAAAGTGCAACAAGTAATATTACAACCACGAACTGCAAGAATGTACATTACCTCTATGGAAGAGGCAAGCTTAGCGTTTCTTCAAAGGTTTGCCTGAGAATAATCATCTTTATGAACTCAACCTTTCACTTTTCCCTTCTGACATATTTTTATCAATTTTGTTCAAATAATCGTATCCAATATATTCAATTCAAAAATTTCTTATGATTTTTCTGACCTAATTTAGAAGTATTAATATAATTGAATGATTATTTTATAAATTTTATATAACTTATAAGGATATCAAAATAATGTAATGAAGGAAAAGTAATTTTACACGTAAAAATAAATTTGAATATAAAAAATAAAATTTTTGTTTTCAAAAAAAAATTGTACTTGAAAACTTCACGAATATTTTTTACAAATACGAATATTTGATTTTTTAAAACTTATGATTTTTTTTACGAATGTTTAAAATTAGTTAATTTTATACGTGGAATTCATTTAAAATTTAAAGACTTGTTTTTATACAAATTAAGATTAGAAATGGAAACGTGTATTCCTTTCTTTCTTATCTTCGTTTGTGAAGTCATTTCCTATCTGGTTATATAATTCATCCTGAAACACCTACAGACACTATTATATACTGACCTCAAAATTTTTTAATTCAATAGATGTTTAAAAAATATTAGTAATAGTTAATAATATAAAATTAAGTTAATAATATAAAATTAATATAAATAAAATAATATAAAATAGTTAATAATAATAGTTAATAATATAAAATTTACACTTTTTATGATATTTACAATATATATAATGCTGTGGTACAAATATAACTATAATTATAATTATAATTTTTAGGATCAAGAAAATACGTAATAAGAATGACGAAGTACCTGACGATTTTCTAAATGAGATTCATAAATGGTCACTGGAATGTGAGTAATGAATAATACTATTTAATTTCACCTTATGAAATTTATTATTATTTTTTGTCTATGTTTCAAATATACTCAAAAATATATACATTTATTAAAATTTACATTTATATACATTTATTAAAATTATACATTTTTATATATACTTTCATATATATGATATAATAATGAAATAAAAACTTAAAGATATTAAAAGATAAATATTAACAAAAAAAAATTTTTTTAGTTTTTGAATCTTTGTCTATTTAAAAAGATTTCACGTAACTCGTATTCTATCTATTCATTTGTCAGTTGGAAATAATAGTCAAAATGGAAATAACGGTATAATGATCTAGAATTCTTTTTTCTCAAACATTCTTTTCTTAAATTTCTCGTATCGTTTTTTTTTTGTAATCATAGCTTTCTTTTCCTGTTTCTTAATCATGATTAAATTACAGAGCCCTGTTTTATGTGGTAATATAATTATCGTTTGTTGAATTTAAAAATTATTAATTATTTCGTTCAAATAAGATCGAATGTCATTCAAACTGTTTCTTTCCATTTTTTTTTTATAGCTATTGCACGTGTAGCATTGGACGTTCGACTCGGTTGCTTGGACGATGACGCTAACATAGAAACCCAACAATTAATCGATGCGGTTACCACATTCTTTAAGAACGTAGGAATATTAGAATTAAAAATCCCATTCTGGAAATTATTTAATACTCCTACTTGGTTGAAATATGTGAATGCTCTCGATACCATATTAAGGTAAATTGAAATATAACGTACAAATAATTAAGTTAAAAATATAATTTAAAAAAAAATGTAACTAAAGATAAGTTAAATTAATTAAAAATAAATTAAATAAAAAAATGAAGTGTACTCGTTATTCTTATTTCAGTATAACGTCTAAATATACAACGGCAGCTCTCTCGAAGACAAAAGAAGCAGAGAAATCTGACAAAGAACCGTCTTTGCTGGAAAGAGTTTTAACACTAGAAAACGATACAAAATTAGCTACGATACTTTCTCTTGATTTATTTTTAGTTGGTATCGATACGGTAAGTAATAACTTTAATTCGATATAAAAAAAAAAAAAAAAAAAAAATCAAAGAATCGAAGTTGTAAAAAAATATTTTCAAATATTATTTTTTTATTTTATCAACAATATTGAAAAATTCATTAAAATTTCAAATTTTTCTTTAAGACATCCAGCGCGGTTGCATCAACGCTCTATCAATTAGCATTGCATCCTGATGAGCAAGATCGTGCTTACAATGAAGTGTGCAACATCCTTCCGAACAAAGATATGCAACTTGATGGGAAACATTTGGATAAATTGAAATATTTAAAAGCATGTATTAAGGAAACGTTAAGGTTCGTTCTTAAATCTTTTATTTTTATTCTATTTTTGTCCTAAGAATAATTCTTTTGAGAAATTTGCTCAAGTCTACTTGATAGTAGACTTAATAATAATTAATTTTTTCGTATCCATCTATTTATCATGAATAGTTTAAATTATTATTTAAGATAAAATTTTCTTTTATTTCTTTATACATTAACATATTACATAATTGTTGTTTTCATCAGGATGTATCCGGTGGTTATCGGCAATGGACGATGCATGACCAAAGATACAATAATCAAAGGATATCGCGTACCAAAAGGCGTAAGAAAAAATTTTTATTCTTAATTTTTATTATATTCTATATTTTTATTGTCAATTATTAAAATTTAATCGAGCTTATTTTATCAAATAATTATATCATTTTATTATTATATTATTAACATTTTCTGTGATACTTATATTATAATAATAGAAATTACTTCAAGACAGGTTCAAGTGGTCTTTCAACATTATGTCATAAGTAATCTTGACAAGTATTTTCCACGTAGCGACAAGTTCCTTCCAGAGAGATGGTTTCAAAGTGACGGCGTGCGTCATAGCTTTGCCTCGCTTCCGTTCGGTTACGGAAGAAGAATGTGTCTCGGTCGACGTTTCGCCGAGCTCGAGATGCTCATTGTAATCAGTAAAGTAATTAGTTTTGACAATTATTTTATTTATTTTTATCAATACATTATATTTGCTCATTCCATAATTTCGATTATTTATTTTTCTCAATTTGCGATATTTCTCAATTTCAATGTATTTAATCCTTTATTAACTAATATAATATTATTAATTAATATAATCTAGTCAAAATAAATTAAAATAACATCTTTATTTGAAAGTAGTACGAGAAAAAAAAAATACGGTTTTATTGTTTTATGACTACCAGTTTAATGCTTACCTTTAAGTGTAGTCACCGTTAGTTTGTCAAGCTATTATTACAGTAAATGCTCATGGACAATGAACAACTTACTCGGCCAGCTGTATCTTCGTTATTATATGATATACCTACCTTTTACCTTACGTACCTTTGTCACGGTACTCTGTACAATTACCTGAATTGCATGGGATTTGAACATAAGCTTCTTTCCTTTTTCTTTTTTTTCCTATTTCAACTTAAAAATTAAATTTTATTAAGAAATAACAATAAGAAAATATTTTTATTTTGTGAAAAATTTCAATTCTATTTAAATGTTAATAAACATATTGATATATAAAAAAAAAAATTTAATCTAAGAAAGATATTTACATCTTATATCATACATACTAAAACAACTTCTTATATATAAATGACAAATACTCCATACAAAATTTTAAGTTTATGATTTTTTTTATAGATAATAAAAATAAAATTAATATTAAGGTATCATATATATCTAAGTTATTTAATATAATAAATTAATTATTTCTCTATTTTATGATTCTTCTCTTTAATGATTCGATGAAGGAAAAAGCAATATTAAAAAGTATTGAATATTTCAATTTATATTTTTCGCGGAATTACATAAACCATCGTATGTGCGCATGCGTATCCACTTAGAATTCGGTGTTTATCTTTTATTTATGGCGGATGGTTATAAATATAATGAGCTGCATCATAATTCTTCTGATAATAATTTGAACAAAAAAAAAATTTTTGATTGAAACAACATAATAAATATATTTTAAAATTTTCTTACATTTTATGCCCATATTTGTATTTCTTTGTTGGCTATTGAAACACATAGTTCAAATAAATATAAATATGCTATTTAGAAAATAGAAATTATCTATAAGAAACAAATGAAATTGTTTTTTCAAATATTTATTTAGAAAAAAAATATAGAATGATTTTTAATAGTACAATATATATTTTTAACACCATAAAATAATCTTTAATAACATTCTTTTTTTTTAAAGAAATATTAGAACTTCTATATTTCATTTTTTTTGTTAAAATTTCGAATTTTTACGTAAAAAAAAAAAAAGGAATATTTGATATGTTTAAAAATTTAATAATAATTTAGAAATTTGATTTAATTTAAATGATTTATTTTAATTATATGGTATTGTTTAAAATTTAATTAATTATCAAGCACATAATATGGATATCTATTTGTAATAATGTTATTGACAATTTTTTGTTTCAGATTTTGCAACGTTACAAAATTGAATATCACCATGAGAAATTAGAGTATTACATAAATCCTATGTACACGCCTAAAGGATCCTTAAATTTAAAATTTATTGATAGATAATGTATGTACAAATATTAATATACAAAAAATTAATAATAATATATTAATAATAATATATAATATAAATATATTAATATAAAAGAAGTTTTGTAATTTTATCTTTATTATATCTACTTTAACGATTTGATGACTATCTTGGAAGCACTTTAAATTTTAATTCCCCGTCAGGTGCGTACATAAATGTAACTTTATATTTAAGTGGTTTATGATGGTATTCCAATTTGTAAGATCTTATCAGCTGAAAAGAAATGTTAATATACATCTCATATTCTCATATAATTAAATAGTAATAATATAATTTCCTATTTTATTATAATTTTTATTATATTTTTATATTTATTGTATTATTGTATTGTATTATATTTATTGTATTATATATATATATTTTTTGTAAAAATTAGAAATATTTTTTATACATACCTTTGCGAGTAGAACTTGTATTTCTAAATCGGCAAATCTTCTACCCAAGCACATACGTGCACCATGACCATAAGGTAGTGATGCGAAAGGATGTAAAGTTTTAGTAGATTCTTTGAGCCATCGCATTGGCTTAAACAATTTTGCATCTGTTACATATTTTTCCATATTTCCCGTTACCACGGTTGGAAACACTACTTGTACCTGTAACAAATAATAATAAAAAATAATAAAATATAAATATAAAAACTATCGACACGATAAAATTATGGATGCATTTAAAACATTGCAATGCCATAAATATATATTTGTTTAAAGATTTTAATTAAAAATACTCACTCCTTTTGGTACTTTATAACCGCAAATTATCGTATCATTTTGCAATGTTCTACCATTTCCAATTACCGTAGAATATACTCTAAAACAAATACAAATTCATATTTGATGAGAAAACTGTATTTTAAATGATATACATTAATTTTGACTAACAAAGGCGCGATTATTTAATAATTTATTTTTATAACACGATCAATAGTACCGAAAAACTTCACGAATAAAAGCTTTCATGTAAATAGCTTTATCTAGATGACTCATATTAAGAGGTACAGATGGATCAGGAAGAATTTCTACAAGTTCCTGATAAATTTTTTCTTGTTCCTCTGGTCTAGTTGCTAATTGATACAATATTGAACAAACGGCCATGGAAATCTATAATAAAATATTAACATTTAAATAAATGTTAATGAACAATTTAATTAATTATATCATACGATGCAATATAATGAAAAATTAATAATTTTCTTCACGCACTGTATCTATTCCAACCAAGATCAAATCTAAGGCGAGTATATAAGCCATTTTAGGATCAGTTTCTTTGGCTAGAATTCTTTCCATTAAAGACAAATCATACTCGTCAACAACTTTTTTCGTTTTCAATCTCTCCATCGCTGCATCGATGTATTTCATGCATACTCTGGAAATATTTATTCTACGATTAATAACTTTATATATATAATTTTTAACAGAATATTTTAAATAGAAGAAAAATTATAATTATAAATTATGATGTCAGAATTACGGAAGATCCTTAAATTCGAGTTAAATTTAAAATTTAAGCTTACTCAATGAAATAATCCATATTTCGTACATATCTTGACCAGAGAAGGGTTGGCACGTATCTCCAGTAAGGAGCTTTTAATTCCAGTATAGCTACATTCCTCAAAGCAAACTTCGCCGCATCGATGATCTTTTGTGGCTCCGAATCCGACGTCAGATTATTCGATAAACATCCTAATCTCACATCAAGAGCAACACGCCCTATACCTGTACAATTTAGCAAAATATTAGAATAGATCTAAAATTTTTCATTGTAGAAAAAAAAAAAAAGAATTAGGAATAATAGAATTTATAAGATTCATCTCAATAGAATGTTACAATTAGAAATTATTGTACCAACACTCTAAAGCCCATTTATGTATTTCATTATCAAAGTCTCCTGGCACTTCTCCATCCTCTCCTTTAATCACTTGAATTCTGAAAACAATTAATCAATCACGTAATTTTAACGTTCATTTTGAATAACATCATCAATCGTTAAATATTCGTAAAATCTTATTTCGTCATTATCTTTATTAAAAAAAAAAAAAAAAAAAAAAATAGTTCAAGCGCAATTGAAATATAACTTCGATATACAATGACACGAACGGTACACAAATCACCTTTGTATAAAGTCAGATGTAACCATCTCAATAGGTGTTATGTATTTCCTCACCGTCTGCGGTTGTAGAATAGGTTTCTGTACTCTCGTACGAAATTCTCTCCATGGTTCACCGTGCCTACGAAGAATTGTAAATATTTTACGCCACTCGTCATCTATATATATATATATATATATCCTCGCTATACGACTGGTTTTAGTCAAGGTAAATAACATATGGTTAGCATCGTAAAAAAGATATTGTCATAAAATTCGATACATAAGTTGACAAACAATTTTTGGTGTATATAATTAATTTTAATGCCGCATTCTACGTAGCAAGAACAAACGAAAATGATAAACCAAATTTTTGAATATTAATCGGGATTGATGATTGCATTGAAGCGTAAAAATAGATTCACAACAGGTCTACGGTTATCTTCCTCATGGTCATTGCGCGCAACATACGTGTTTTATTTATATATATATATATTATACACATACACTCCAACTACACCGGGTAGACTTCCAAAAAAATCTTTCCTCACAACGCTCTTATAATGCACAAGACACGGCATAGACGGTCTAAACGGTGTCGGTCCTTCCTGCCTGTAAATTTTCTCGATCTCGTCCACATCGTAAACGAACAACAAATCCGGCCGCCCTATCAAACCTGTCAAACGAACGATCTTCCCGTACTCGTCGTAGAATACTTGTGACAATTTGGCAACGTCTGATATCTCGTATTGGCCAATCATCGGAAACAGACGCCACGTGTTCCCTAAAATTGGAATCGGTTTCGGGCCTGGTATGTCCTTGTACGGTTTCCCTTGAATCGTTGTATCGTGATCGACCATACAACTCTTCGTCGTCGAGGTTATTGCACCTGTACGAACACGACAGTGGATAAGGGAAAATGAGCGCGAGTTGAATTTGAAATGAAGAATGTGTAGCGGAATGGCATTCGAAATTTATTTATTTTTCTGAAACTTTTCTGAACGGTGTGTAAGAAAGATTATTTAAAAAATATCATTGCAAATGTTGTAATTTATAAAAAAAAAAAAAAAAAAAATTGGTAATTCATTTCATAATAATTTTGAGTGTAAGATTATTCAAAGAAAAATATATATCTATATATATTGCATTTTTTAATATAGCATGACCGTTATACGATATAAATATAAATATGATACATTCACATAAAAGGATATTTTATACCTGAACATAATATTCTTCGAAGATCATGCGTTCGCGACAATCGACGTAATTGACAACTGGTTCTAGTAGTACAAATAAAAATATAATTAATAATTTAGTATAAGCAATTAATATATAATTGCAATATTAATTATTAATAAATAATTGCAATACATTAATACGTATAATAACAGAAAATGAATTTTGAAAAATAAATATCTTGTCTTACCTTGTCATCGTATATGTATTACAAGAGAAAATCTACTTTCACTCTCATGTTTCATGATTTCAATTTACCCTTTTATAATCGTAACGTGACAAGCTTTTAATAATTCTATATAATTGTCGCAAGATTACCAAGATTCAATACTATTTTTAAATATCAAAATTAATAATTATTAATTACAAAAACATTGATATAATTATAAATTATAAAAATGATATATCTTTTGACTCTATCCAAAATTATTTCATTAATTTAATGAAATAATTAATTTTTAAAAAAAAATGATTTTAAAAAATACAAAGTTTTGCGATTCAAAAGAATCTAAAATTTATATTTTTATCCGTTATTATCTCGAATTCTGAGTTTTCATTGAAGAATTAAAAAGATTTCTATTTTTTTTTTTTACTAAAAACGTATTTTTTTTTATAAGAAATTGTCCAAATCTTACAACCTGATGTATGTAAACACAAACTTAACCGATGCACAGGCCTAGAAGAGACTTTCCATTGATGTTTGCAATTCTACCTGAAATTCATTGTAATCCTCTTGTCCTCTTGTCCTGTCTCGATTTTCCCGTTATCGTGTGAAAGGTCCACTCGTCATAAGTGGTACTCGTAAATCACATCAGAATATTTTTCAAATGAAATTATTTATTATAAACCGTTTGAACACGTTAAATCACTTAAAGGAGAAATAATTTCCTGAATTAATAGCTTTTTTTATGGTTGGTGGGAGATCATAAGTACACCGATACACTATGTGATGGAGAATACTCCACGTAAAATGAGACTACACTATCTAACTAAAGTGGAATCCCCACTTTGAAATCTCCCTCCACTGGCTAACGGTTACGAATTCGCTGTTCTCGTAGAGACATTATTGTGACGTACAAAGAGACTGCCCTAATATTGTCACTTTGATTAAATTCAAGAAAAATAAAAAATAATCCGCAGTTAACATATGAATTTATTTTTGTTAAAAAAAAATACATTTGAAAATGTAAAAATGTCTATTGCTTAACAGGGATACAAATAAAAGTTAATAAAACGAATTTAGAAATAATTTTTTTTTCAGGAAAATATTAGAATTAATCTCTGTTTATTATTGTTTATATTCGTTGTTTAATTTCCCAATGCAAGTGTCCATATTGAAATTTGAACAGAATTAAATATTTTAATCTCTTTAGGGTTTGAATTAGGCAATACATAGGAATTGCATAGATCTGTAATTCTTACGATTTACACGCGTAATTATCAGTTCCCCTCTAAGTATTATGAGACTTTCAAACAGTTTCACTTATTATCACTTTTTGCAGTGACCCGAGCTTACCGCTTGATGCATGAATTTATGTTTATATGTATACAAAAATGTACATAGTATGTAATATATAGATTCTTTTTAATAAATGACAAATATAACAATCTTGACTGAGATAGTTAAAATAACTGTTAATTCTTCTTTGTCGTTGCATGTAAAAATTAAAATCTTAAAAATTTATTTATTGTTATGTATTAGCAGAAAAATATTGATTTTACATACAAGGGAATAATAAATTTACGCCGAAATTGCAAGGATACTCAAATTTCTAAGAACTTATTGCATTTTCTTTCATTGCATATCCTTGACATTTCAACGCAGACAAAGGACCAATATCGTTATTTAGGATTAACTAAGGTTTTCTCCATACTTGAAACACTTTTTTCCTTTTGGAATAAGTTAAATTTTCAATTTAGTTTAATATACCTTATACCCTATATAAACACAAAAATATTTTATAAACATAATATAAAATATAAAAGTCCATTTTTCTTTCTTTTTTTTTTTATTTATTAAATAATATATGTTGCATATTTATTATTATAAATCGCATTAGTTTTTGCAGATTGAAGATTGAAATTTTGAAAATTTAAATTTATTCGTATATTTTTCCATTCCATATTTAAAATTTACCAATAATCCATTTCAAAGAATAATTCACTTTTTTTTTTCTTCAAGAAATTGCCATAGAACCAATAAACCATCGTTTACAGGTATAAGGTCTTTAAAATCCTTATATTGTATAATTCCGGATTTTAAATTTCGGGTGCAGGTCACGTTGTAAATATTGTAATTAACGCGGAGCAGGTAGCGATGTTATTTAAAGAATATGTACTCGAAGCTCAAGATGTTCAACAAGGATCCTCGAGGCTCAAGATTCTTAGTAGATGTAAAGGAGAAAAACATGGTAAGGCAACAGTACAAGTACATACTTTGATACTTTGATATTTTGCCACGATACAATTGTAAAAATTTATATATTTATCATTTTATTTTCTTAGAAACGGTATCAATAGAGATCGATGTGATTTTTCTGATAAAAATGATTCAGACACGACATAAATCGAATGATATATATTACGAACAAAAGTGTAACATGTGTAATAATCATTGGGTACGTTTTAATCGGGGATCTGATTATCCTTTTTTTTTATTTTGCCGAAAAGAACATTAAAAGTCTTTATAAATAATTATAAAAAGACTTTATAAACAATTATGAAATTTTTTTAGACAAATACTGAAGCGGTAAATTTATTAAATTAATTAAAGTAATTATTAGAAAAAAGGGGAAAAAAATTTATCTGATTTATATCGCATTTAAATTAATTTTTAAGATTCACCAATTTATTATTATTACTATTCGATCTCTGCAATTGAATATTTCATTTTCAACGTACACGTACACATCTCTGCTCTACTCTTATTATGTCTGTTCACGATCTTCATCAATATGATTGGATCACGCTGAGCTTGTGTTTTTGAGTGATAAGAAAATGGTGGGGTTGAGCGTTTAATTTACGAGATACAATATTGAAGGAATTTAAATAAATATTACTGTACATAATAAAATAGGAATACTCTCATCTGTTCCTTTTTCCACGGAGGTAGGGGTACAGGTATTTAGGATCTAGCGAATATATAAACAGGTCTACGAGGGTTGGTAGATCATTTGCTCATGAGAGTTTGTGTTTCGTGTCGTTAAAATTGTTAGTTAAGTGTTGAAAATGGCAAGGTCGACAGCGTGGATCAGGAACAACATGTTATTCTCCGAAGACGAATATGTAAGTTGTTTTTAATTGTTTTATTTGTTATTATTTATTTAACGATTGGAAAATCGCGTCTTCCATTTTAATTTAATTTTAATTTAATTTAAGTGATTATAAATATTAAGTGAAAATTAACTGAAAATTAAATGTTATTGTATGTTATTGAATATATAATACGGAAAATAATTAAAATAGAAAATTATAAAAAATATATAATAAAATATATAATAAATAATAAAATAGGAAATTATAAAAAAATATAAATTGAATATTATAATTATGTTTAAAAAAATTATATTATTTTTTTCCCAAAAAATCTTAATTTATTATTTAGGAATTTTTTTCTGTTTTTTTCTCATTTTGTTTATAATTATATAATATAATATGATATAAATATATGATATGATATAATATAATTTTTAATTTATACGTTTTAAAATATTAAAGTGTTATTAACGAAATTTAATAAATAATTTAATTATTAAATATTTTTATAATAAGATATATTTGTAAAAAATTATTTTTCTTCTCTATATCTTCAATATGATATATTTTTATACATTTGTATATTAATTATGCTTAATATTGTATCACAAAATATTAATAATATTATCAATTATTACTTCTTAATCAATGACATGAAGCAGTAGTATAAGAAATAATTTGAAAAAAATTTAAAGGAATAAATATTATAATGTATAGTTATTTTTTATTTTATGTAATTATATTTTAAATAATCATATATGGAAAATTATTTTTATAAAAAAAAATTGAGTATTACAATAGAATATTTAAAAAAAATTACACTATTTTTTTTTCTAAAGAATCTTGTTACTACTTCAATTTAAAAATTTTCAATTATCAATTAATTTTACATATAATTAAACAAATATAAAAGAATACTATTTTTAATTTATGCGTTTCTAAGTTATTAAAATGTTATTAAAATTTAAAAATTATTATAAGAATACTTATACAATAATATTAGATATATTTGTAAAAACTTATTTTTCTTTTTGGCATCTTCAATATAATATCTTTTTGTACACTCGTATAATTAATTATCGTTGTGTCACAAAATATTAATTTACATTATCATTACTATGTTTTAGTGATACATAAAGTAGTACATAAGAAGTACTAGCATAAGAAGAATTTCAAAAGAAACTCAAAGGAATAAATTTTATGCATTTTTAATTATATATAATTATTCTTTAAATAATTTTAAATGCAAGATTATTTTTTTTAAAAAATTAAATTTTATTTATGCAAAATTTCGAATAATAATCTAATTTATTTTACTTAACATTTAATTTTTTCTTAACATTTTTCTTAACATTTTAATTATAAATAAGAACAAAAAACGGACTTTAAAAGTATTTATTTGATTGTCAATGTTTTAATATTGATAAATTTTTTATAACATAATTTTATTTAATCTTAATTTTTATTAATGTTATTAATTTATTAATATTATTAATATTATTAAAAGTATGATTTTCGTTATTATTTTTGTTGACCAGGACGAGCAATTGACGGAAGCAAGACTGAAAGTTCAACGATCTTTTCAGAAGTTATCCATTTCAGACTGGCACTCGCACAAATGTTCTAATCCACCACCAAACTTAGTAAAAGTTACGCCGTTTGAATCTCGTCCACCATCCTGGAAAAATTTTAAAGAAAAATCTACGCTGTATTCGATGAATTTGTTAGGTATTTATTAATATTTATTATTTATAAATTTAAAAATAAAATATTGTATTTAATTAAATTGATTATAAAATATTTAATTATATTTTTATATTTTTCAATTTTTAAATTCGAATTTATAATAAAGCGTATTCATTATAAAAATATTAAGCGTTTAAGCAGTTTAATATAATTTTTAATTTATTTATTAGGTGACAAAAAGCTAAATGAAGAAATTAAGGCCAAGGTCCCACCTAGAACAATTATCAACAATGAAAATTATTATCCGAAAAGATTGACGGGAACAAAGTATAAAGAATATTCAAATTGTGCATCAAAGGATAAAACGTTCGATACAAATATTCCAAAAGTAAAGCTTTCCAAAAACATTTACGGGACCTATCCCAAAATGTCGCCTTCTAGAAAAGTTCAAAATATAAATATTGTTTTACCAGTTAGACCAAAAATTGAACCGTTAACAAATCAAATTAATGTTAACAAAAAAAATGACTATTCTAATAATAGCAGAACTCCTCGAGAAAGTAGGCAAAGGAATAACGATGCCATTCAAATTTCCGACATCATGACAACCCCTATAAGAACGCCAGACATGAAATCAAATTTTAAAATTCCCGCCACTTCTACTCCAAAATTCTCTCGAGCTTACTTATTTTCGTCGAACATCAGTGAAGATACTCCAAAAATGAAAAAGACCCGTTCCCGAAACATTTTGGAGAAATCTTACATCTTCGAAAATAAATCTATGAACGAATCGGATGATTACAAGCTTGATAATACTTTTAAATGTAGAAAGTTGTCTAAGAATATGCTAGAAAAAGCATCTATTTTCGACAGCAGTTTAAGGATAGAAAACTTTGATCGAGATTACAAAGAAGATATACGATGTTACAAAGAAACACCAGTAAAAACACCAAAAGAGAATTCGCTATTACAGAGAAATATTCGATCGATTGATTCAATTTTATCGAAAGACGATTATGATTTGACTATGCCAAAATCTTCATCCATGGTTCGTGACATTGCGAAAAAGTTGGAAATCGCAAATATATCTTCTCCGACAGATGAATCTACACTAAGAACCAAAATGAATTCTATTCTCCAAAGAAAAAAATCGAATCGACCGAACTCGGTCATTCATTTTATAAGAAGTAAATATGAAAAGGAAAAAACTATTAAAGAAATGATGGGAAATTTAACAGAGAAAGAAAACAAATCTTCGTTATCGCGTCAGAATTACAATACTAAAGTTAATCAGAATGCCGTAAAACAACTGGTGAATATAGACAAAGAGATTGAGTCTAAGGTTAAAATTTATCATCAATCGTTAAAAAGAAATTTCGTATGTGAAGAAGATAGTTTCAGCGAGTCTGAAGCGAAATCTGTTGTTACATCAACCTCCCCTAAGGACACGGATAGCAGCAGTGATACTGATCAAAAATCACTTTATCTAAATTATGAGCACGATTCATTCGATAATGAAAATTCAACAACGGAGAAAACATTGGAAACCGAAGAAAAAGTTTTTCAAGATGAAAGTGATGATGATGTTTATTGGATACCTGTATCTAATCCGTACAAATTTCCAAGAACTAGTTCCTTATTGACAATCTCTAGTCAAATTTCTATTGATACCCCGTCTCCATGTATCAGTCCAATCAAAATGGAAGAGGAAGTGGATATTGTGCAAAAACATTGGAGAAACACTACCAGGAAGATCAACCCTTTTTATAGGATTGACGAAACAATAGTGATAGATTCAGGATATTCTGATAAATCTGAAGCGATTATGAATAATTCTGAATCATCGATAACGGATAGTTATTATCAATGATGTTCAAAATGATTCTCGATCGAAAAACAGGTTAGGTTAGGTTAAAAAAGTCTTCTAGATGGAACTTAATCGTTGATTAGTTTTTATCTTGATATAAGTTTTTATCTTCAAATTATCTTCAAATTGGAAAAATGTAGGATTTTGGTAATTAGCAAGAGCGATAGATTTGTGAATTATACCGTGATATAATTTAATATCATGAAAAGTAATCTAATTTATTTGAAAATTTACTTTAATACCTGCTATCAATAATTCTATAAATATAATTCTTGAAATGAATGATTGAAGCAAAATATAAAATACTAATTATTCTATATTTTACTTCAATATCTCGTTACATCTGCGATAAATAATTTTCATATTTGTTTTTGTTCGAGTTTAATTTGTTTTTTTATGGTGAATAAATACATTGAATGTTAAATGAATGCATCATTCAAAAAAAAATTTTTTAATTGAAAATCTTAATCTATGAAATTGCATTATATTACTGAATAATTCTTTCGTTCCTCCCATTATATTAATTTCTTGTAGGAGATTTATATGAATATCAACAAAATCAAAATCTTATTGTAAAAATTCTTTAGTATTGTTGTAAATTACTTTTATTATATATTCAAGAAAAGCGCAAAGTAATAATTTAAGAATAATGCAGAAAATATATGTATATATACATAATTTTTTTTTACCCGATTAAGAAATGATTGTATAAAAGTGATTTGAATGAAAAATCTACGAGGAAATAAATGTAATAGTGTTCAAATATGTGTTTCATAAAACATGGTATTGTTCACTATATATAATTTACATTCTACGTATAAAATGCAAATTTTATCTTTGGCAATTCGAACAAATGTTTAAATACTCAATAATAGTTTTTGATTGCTATTTAGAGATAAATAGTTGTAAATAGAGAAAATTTGATGAAAATTTTAGTGAATTAGTTACTTCGAATAGTTATGGTCTAACGTATAGATCGTTCTTCATTTTTTTCCATAAATATTTTTGTGACTTTCGCATTTACTTTACTATTATTATTTTAAAATTCAACATAGTTACAGTTTTTTTCTTCTTATAAATTAAAAAATTATAAAAAATTATAATCATTTAATATTTTGATATTTACTAAATTATAAGATTTTAAAATTTAAATAAAAATTAACATAGGAATTAAAATTGAAAATGTTTAATTATTAAATATTACTTATGTGCCTTTCAGTAGATAAAGTGATATAAAATAGAAAAAAATTTTGATTAACATTTTAAAATTTTGTAAAATATTTTTTGAAGTATAAATTAATATTTTTTGAATAAAATTTGTAATTACTAAAAATTTGTAACACTATTCTTATAATTTTTAAAGAAAATATAAAATAATATTGTAATAATGATATGATATAAGTTTTGCAAAAAAAGAAAAATGAAAAATAAAATAAAAAATATAAATTTATTTTAAAATTTTATTAATTTAAAAATTTATTAATTTTTTTTTGTTATAATTATAATAGTTTAAATTAAATTAAAATAAATTTTATTTTATTCTTTAAAATCTTATACATATACATCTTGTATATATATATCTTGTATATATACATATACATATAGTGTATATATATATATATTAATTATGAATTTAAGAAATTATAATTAATTTAAATTATTTTTTTCTTTTTGTGAAGATTTAAATAGTTATAAGATAATGTTATTTTAATAAATAATTCAATATCTAATTAGAATTAATAAGTCAATTTAAATGTTTAATTTAACAATTATATATATATTAATATATATAATATATATATAATATATATAATTATATATATTAATAATATTCTTTAAAAAATTTTTGCAAGAATGTTTTTATACAATAATACAAAATATATACACGATAGAAAGTAATTCGAACAATTATTTAAAACTTAAAATTACAATTGACAGATAACTGATTACAAGATCAACATAAGAAAAACTTGAAAAGATTAATTAAATGAAGTACTTACATGTATGTATATATATATATATATATATATATATTTATAAGTATACATTTAAGTTGTTCATGACCTTTATTGTATTTATTATTTAAGAACAGAATATTAGATATCAAATTCGATATTGACTTGGTTTGAATAATAAGAAAGTAATAGAAGTAAAAAATTAAAAATTTATCATATTATAATTAATTTATTGAATTGATTAATTATTTAAATATACATGTATAATAAATGAATTTCAATCCGTATAATATATATAAAATATATGTAATAGAAATAAAAAACTTTTAATAGAAATATACGGATATTTATGTGGTGAAAACTATATAATTAAATATATATATATATATATATATATATATAATAATAGTATAGTATATATATATATATACTATTTTTATGTATCTTGATATATTTTATATAGATATACATATTTTTTATTTTTATTATATACATATCTTGTATATTTTCATATTTTTTATTTTCTATTTTCTAAAAAATTCATTGTTTCTAGCTTTCTCAACTTTTTTATGAAACGTTTGTTTGCAATATTTTTCAATCAAATATTTCTAAACATAAAATTATTGTTATATTTATTCTTTTTATTAACTATTGATAGATATATTTTGTCTATAAATTAGATAAATAGAAATATTCAATATTAGTGGAGCCATCTCGTGAATAAACTTTTAAACTTTCCAAGTTATCAATAAGAAAACAGAATGTAAGAAGGTATTCATGTCATAAACAAGAACAAAAATATTACGCGAGAAAAAGAAAAAAGATTAATTTTAATTAGTCTTATAAATATATTTCTTTTTGTTTTTGACACTTTCATGTCGAAAATATAGAAAATTTTAATTAATTTATTTTTCATTAAAAATTTCTGTCTTTTAAGTTCGCATTTCAAAATTAAAACCTTAAACAATTATATAAGTTTGAATGGAAAATTTTTTCCAATTAATTATTTTTTAATCATTATCATAAAGAATATTTTAGTTGCAAATTTTTTATCTTTAATCAAGTAATAAACGATCAATTTATTTGTTCAAACAGTAGTAAAATTATAATAACTGAATAAAAATTATAGCAAATTTAAAATAAATATGAAATAATGAATAAGGAGAAATAAAAAAACATATTTGAAATGCATATTCAAAAATAAATTTCATAATAATTATTAATTAATAATTAATTAAAAAATTTCATATTAAAATTTGAAAAAGAAAATTTAAAGTTAATTGTAAATCTTATAAAATTTTTTAATAATAAATTAATTTTCTATTAATTAATTGATTTTGTATTTCTAACTTAATAGGAAATACTAGAAACTGTATCAAAATGGTAACTTCTTTCACATAATATTGCTTTTTTTTTATAATATCACGAATATTTATTTGAATGTTTTACATTACTATTAATACATGTTAAAATCGGAGCTTTTAGCATTTATCCGCGAGATGGTGTTACGGATTCATAAATTTTTTATTCCATTTTCTTTATCTGATGTACAAATAAAATATATTTAATTTATTTCAATATATTTTATGCATATTTTAGTATATAAGCTAGGATTTCTAATATATATTTTTTTCATTTTAAATTCAAAGAACTAATAGAGATAATAGAAATAATAATAATAAGAATATGCTCCCTATGTATATCTATTCAATGCTTGAACAGATATAAATATATTATATACATTTTGCGTAATGTACAGTAAACTGTGTATACATGTCAAAATTTATAATAGTTTATTTATTGTTTACTGTCGTGTGTAAGAATCGTTGTTTTTAGCACGTATTTTTAGAGACTATGCAGGAATATCCTTATGTGTTATCAGAATATGAGGAAATAAATCCTCTTCTTTATAAACCTATCAATTCAACTCAACGAATTAAGGTATTTTTCTTTAAAATTGAAAAATTATTCTTATGCAATATTTACACATTATATATTAATTTATTTGTCATTACAATAATTTATTCATTATTGATTATATTTACGATGTCTTATTTTCTTTATGCATATATTAATTTATTGTTAAATAAAATTCCTATATATTAAATTAGGATTTTAAATTATGCAAATATTGTGTAATAATTTTTTAATTTTATAAAATATTTACTTGAAAAACGTAAATCTCATTTTAAATAAATTAAATGAATAAAATGAAAGTATTTCTAATAAAATTAAACAAATTTTTATTATAAAAATAATTTTTTTTTTTCATTAAATGTTAAAGTCAATATTATTATACTAATATTAATTTATTATTATTTTACAGTATACATGTTTTAATGTATCCTCTAATTATATTTTATTGGGTTCAACCAGTGGCAGTATTTATCTATTTTCAAGAAAACCATGTTCCTTTATACAATTAATACCTTTATCGGTACATAAATTTTATTTAATTATAATAAAAATATAATAATTTATATTTATTTAATATAAAAATATTAAAAAAAATAATTTTGAATTATTGTTTCTATAATAATAATAGGAAGGAATAGTTTCTCGTATTCTCATATCACCTGATGAGAAAACAATTGCTTTGACAACAGCTCGTGGTATAGTTTGTTTAGTAATATTAAAACCAACACCAAAATTGATAGCTATATCAACTGAGCATATTCATAAACAAATTAACTGCCTTTGTTGGAATGATAATAGCTCTGAAGTATATATTGGTGATGAAAATGGAAAAATTTCTGTTTTGGTGCTATCTATATTTACGGTAAATCTTTATTTTAATATGTTCGATATATTATATTTTTTTATAAATCATAATATTTTATAAATCATTTCTATAAGATAAGATTTCTATGCAAAAAAAAAACTAAAGATATTTAAAATAATAAGAGAAGAATAGAATAATAATAAAATATATTTAATATAAATATATTTTTTTTTATTGTAACGCAATAATTAAATTTTTTTCTACTTCTATTATACTTCTATTTCTATTTATAATGATATAAATTTTATATTCTACTTCTATTTATAAAGTTCATCAATATGATTTGATTATTTATCAATTATTGATTATTTGATTATTTTATCAATTATAAATTAATTATTAATAATAAATATTATTATAAAATATAAAACATTATATAATATATCAAATAAAATTTTAAATATATAATA